AGTAGAGACAAGGTTTTACCATGTTGGCCAGGCTGGTCTCAAGCTCCTAACGCAAATGATCCACCTGCCTCAGCCTCCCAAAGTGCTGGGATTACAGGTGTTAGCCACCATGCTCGGCCTAAGTGTCCTTTTATTGGCTATTAAACATGTGACCAGAAAGAGTTACATGGGGACCATCATTTTCTGCTGCAAAGACGGTCTTTGTTCATTATGGTTGGTATAGACACTAATGACACGGCCATTTAGAAATCCAACGTCCCCACAAGCAAGGAAGGGAAATGACACTTAACTGAGCATATTCTATTTGCCTGCCTCTAAAGTAATAAAACTAATATTAGAGGCCGAGGTGGGTGGATCACCTGAGCTCAGGAGTTCAAGACCAGCCTGGCCAACATGGCGAAACCCCATCTCTACTACAAATACAAAAAAATGAGCCCAGCGTGGTGGTGGGCACCTGTAATTCCAATTACTCAGGAGGCTGAGGCAGGAGAATCACTTGAACCTGGGAGGTAGAGGTTGCAGTGAACCGAAATTGCACCATTGCACTCCAGCCCGGGCAACAAGAGCAAGACCCTGTCTCAAAATAATAATAATAATAATAATATGATAATTTGTGTTTGTACAGAACTTTATACTTTTCCAAGAGGCTTCACATTCATTGTAGTGTTGAAGCCTCTAGGGAAACCCCATGGGGCAGGTAAAGTGAGTCTTAGCAGGTTTTCCCAGATTGCCCAGCTAATTAGTGCTGCTGGTAGCATTAGGGGCAGACTGCAGCTTCCTAGGGCCCCAGCCCATTATCAGGGAATCTTGCCTTTAAAAGTTGCTGAAAGGCTTAGTGTAAGCCCCAAGAAGAACCTTTCTTCCCTCTGGGTGGTCTCAGGCCCTGGGGTAATGAAGGCTTGTTTGTCATTCCATGTTTCCCAGACTCATTAGTCTCCTTTGGCTTTTGAGGCTTTGAAAAGACAGTGAGAGCCTCCTGGGATTAAATTTTCTCAACTGATTAGAAAGTTTCTGCAAATCGCCCTGGCCTTTCCCAGAAGAGGCCGTGGGTGTGGTGCACACAGTGTGGTTGGCTTCCAGCTTCCTGTCCCTCAGTCTGGGCAGGCGGAGAACCTCAGCCTGTGGGGGAGGGGTTCTCAGGGTGGAGAAGAAAGAGGTCTCTGTGGCTACAGGAGCAAACAGGGTCTGAGGGAGTGGCTAGAGCAATCCCATTCTCCCGTGCCCACAGTGGGACCCCCATCTGTGCTGTGATGACCCTGAGATCCCAGAGGAAGCAGGTGGTGCTGGCCATTCTTGGCTTTGAACTGCCCCCTTTGTAAACCCCTGGGCCCTTCTCAAAGCTTCAGGAGCCCAGTCCCCTGCTGTGGCCCCCCAGACCCTCCTGCCCAGCAAGGCTACCTCCTGAATTTTTCTTTTTCTCTTCTTCTCCGTCAAAACCCCTATTCCTCAGGTTCCATGGGTAACTCCCATGTCATGGGCACAGTGTTCAATTGAGAATCAAGTCACCTGGGTTTAAGCCTCCATCTTCCACTGACTGCCCAGGTACTTCCCCCATCAGGGACTGCCAGCTCTGTACAGTGAGGATCATGATACCCATGACAGGCTGGATGTGAAGCCCAAATGAGATGAAAGTCCTGAGATGCTAAAAAGAGACAGCTATAGACAAGATACCAGTGTTACATGGTGGGTATTATTCCCCTCATTCAGTGGGCTGTCATAGATCTAGAGGACTGTTCTGAGAAAAACTGTGGAAATCTAAGGTGTTTGGTCTTTCACAATTGTGTCATTCTTTTGGCCAAATCCAGGCCCTGATGCTTGAGATGGATCAACTCTAGTTCCCCCTCCACCATCCTACAACGAACACTAGCCTCTCACAGAATTCTTCCACATCTTTCAAGCTTTTGTAGGAGCAGACACAAAAACAATGAGGTACCTGTTCTGCAGGCTTGTAGGCCTGGGGAGTCCAGCCCTCTGGCCTTGAGGCGCTCAGACAGGTGCATTGCATGAAAGGTTATTGAGACAGCTGCAACCCTCTTCTAGAGGCAGATTCAGCTGCACATCTAGTTTACAGAATCCTCTAGAAATACCTGGACACGGGAGCTGTGTCCCCAGATCTATAGCATCAGCTCAAAGGGTACAAGCTTCAGGGCTTGCTAGGTTTTTTTTTTTTTTTTTGAGATGGAGCCTTGCTCTGTTGCCCAGGCTAGAGTGTTGTGGCGTGATCACAGCTCCCTACAACATCCACCTCCCAGGTTCAAGCAATTTCCCTGCCTCAGCCTCCGCAGTAGCTGGGACTACAGGCATGCGCCACAGTGCCTGGCTAATTTTTGTATTTTTAATAGAGACCAGGTTTTGCCATATTGGCCAGGCTGGTCTCAAACTCCTGGACTAAAGTATCTGCTTGCCTCGGCCTCCCAAAGGGCTGGGATTACAGGCATGAGTCACTGCGCTCAGACTAGATTTTTAAATCTTACCCATACAAGGGTAGAGGTACCTGTTCATTATTTTTAGCCAATCCACCTATCTTGAACACCATTTATTTCACCAATGAATTAAATCATTTCTAATATGTATTTATTCTAGCATTCATTTATTATGCTAATTAACAAATTCTCTGATGCAGACTATCAGATGGGCCTCAAGACTGTGGGTCTGCGGGCTCTTTCTTTTTTTTTTTTTTTTTGAAAAGGCATTCAGCTCTGTTGCCCAGGCTAGAGTACAGTGGCTCAATCTCAGCTGACTGCAACCTCCACTTCCTGGGTTCAAGCGATTCTTCTGCCTCAGCCTCCTGAGTAGCTGGGATATTACAGGTGCACGCCACCACTCCTGGCTAATTTTGTATTTTTAGTAGAAACGAGGTTTCTCCATGTTGATCAGGCTGGTCTCGAACTCCTGACCTCAGGTGATCCGCCCACCTCAGCCTCCCAAAGTTTTGGGATTATAGGCATGAGCCACCACTCCTGGCCTGTGGGCTCTTTCAAATGCTCTCTAACCAGCCTTGGAGTGTGTCTTCCTGATTCGGACATTTCAGATGTTAACCAGGCACCCCTCTGGTATAGATTAAAATGAACTAAAACACATACATTTCACATTCTTTCAGGAGAAGCCTTTAAAGTAAGTTCTAGAACTGACTTTGCACCAGATCCCCCCAGGGGCTCAGTGAGCGGGAGCCACTGGAAGGGAAGTCCTAAGTGTCACCATACACACATCTCCCATGGGCCTGGCACCAAGAGCATAGAACGTGCTCCATCTTGGCTGGAGAATGTGACCCAAAAGGGGACATGCCCACACTGTGGTGTGTTCCAAACTTGGACTCGTTTTTAACTAAGGAAGTTTCTAGAACGGAAGTACCACAACTCCTGGTTGTCTGAAAATGTATCCAGAGCCGACCTCTTCGCCCTCCCAAAGACAACAGGCACATGTGGGGTTGCCTCGCCCCAGGCCACTTCCATTTAGCCCTGGTCCTGTGCACTGACTCAGTTCTCCTTCCCTTCAGGAGTTGGTGACGGAGGCAACGAGCTGGGGATGGGCAAAGTCAAGGAGGCTGTGAGGAGGCACATACGGAATGGGGATGTCATCGCCTGCGACGTGGAGGCTGACTTTGCCGTCATTGCTGGTAAGCACTAGGATGGCCACCCAGTTGGGCTGGCTACCCAAGGTGAGAGACCTCGCCTGGAGCCTGACCAGGCCAGAAGCTCTTCTTCTCTACGAGTGGTCCAGAGGGCACCAGAGCAGGAAGGGGAGGTGGTGCTTAGCCTCTGGCCTTTCATTCAGTCATTCAACAAACATTTACAGTGTGCCAGGCTGTGTCCTGAGCACTGGGGTTATAGCTGCAATGACCCTGCTCCACAGAGCTCCCATTCTAGGATTGGGAGAGTCAGAATGAGCCCTGACAAATAAATGCATCGGATGATTCTAAAGAGTAATAAGAGCTTTGGGGGCAATAGTACAGGCAGCCGAGAAGGTGATGGGAGGGCCACTTCAGATCGGCGGTCAGGAAGGCCTTTCTGAAGAGAGTCAGCCGCGCTTTTATCTGCATGGACAGTAAGAAAGCCGTGTGGTAGGTGTTTGGAGGATGCAAGAAACTTTCCACCTTCCCTTTCACCTGCTTCTGGCTTGGGCGGCGCTGCGCCTCCCCACTGCTGCCCCTCTCCTGCAGGACCCACCTTTCCTGCATCCGGATCCTTCTAGGTCTGGTCTTCCTCCTTTGACCTCACCACAAATTTCAAGAAAATTGGCAGATATGGGCCAGGCGCGGTGGCTCACACCTGCAATCTCAGCATTTTGGGAAGCCGAGGCAGGCGGATCACCTGAGGTCAGGAGTTTGAGACCAGCCTGCCAAATATGGTGAATCCCCACCTCTACTAAAAATACAAAAAACTAGTGTGGTGGCACACACCTGTAATCTCAGCTACTTGGGAGGCTGAGGCAAGAGAATCACTTGAACCCAGGAGTCAGAGGGTGCAGTGAGCCAAGATTGTGCCATTGCACTCCAGCCTGGGAGAAAGAATGGGACTCCGTCTCAAAAAATAATAAAAATAATAATGAAAATTGGCAGATATCTGAGAAAGGCTCTCCTAATTCACAGTTGTAGCCTGGAGAGAAATGGAACCTCGTGGGAACCAGTGCCAGGTGGGAAAACCTGGATCGTAATTGAGACATGGCTGAAGGCTAAGAATGGGCAAGTATGAGCGTTTAAAACTCCAGAAGACTCAGTGGTCTGGGGCCCTCGTGCTCCTGAGTTTTGACTCTGGGCGCTCAACCAAGTTCTCATAGTGAATATCAGAGAAAATTCTCCTCATGCTTGGCATCAGGGGAAGGGAAAAGTGAGTCATTTTCAAGTAGGCCAGGCCATTCTATTCTTCTTGTTCTTCTTTTTCTTTTTTTCTTTTGAGACTGAGTCTTGCTCTGTCACCCAGGCTGAAGTGCAGTGGCACCATCTCAGCTCACTGCAACCTCTGCCTCCCGGGTTCAAGCGATTCTCCTGCCTCAGCCTCCTGAGTAGCTGGGATTACAGGCACGCGCCACCACACCTGGCTAATTTTGTTATTTTTAGTAGAGACAGGATTTCACCATGTTGGCCACACTGGTCTCGAACTTCTGACCTCAAGTGATCCACCTGCCTCAGCCTCCAAAAGTGCTGGGATTATAGGTGTGAGCCACCAGGCCCAGATGATTATAACTTTTTAGATACAACACCAAAGGCATCATCTATGAAAGAAACTTCACTAAAATTTCAAGCTTCTGCCCTGCAAATGGCAATGTTAAGAGGAGGAGGTTGAGTGCAGTGGCTCGTAGCTACATTCCTAACACTTTGGGAGACCAAGGCAGGAGGACCATTCGAAGCTAGGAGTTTGAGGCCAGACTGGGCAATGTGGCAAGAACTTTTCTCTACAAAAAAACATTTTTTTTTGAGGCAGAGTCTTGCTCTTTCTCCAGGGACCGGGCTGGAGTGCAGTGGCACAATCTCGGCTCACTGCAACCTCCGCCTCCTGGGTTCAAGCAATTCTTCTGCCTCAGCCTCCCAAGTAGCTGGGACTATAGGCACATACCATCATGCCCAGCTAAATTTTGTATTTTTATTAGAGACGGGGTTTTACCATGTTGGCCAGGATGGTCTCGATCTCTTGACCTTGTGATCCGCCCGTCTCGGCCTCCCAAAGTGCTGGGATTACAGGCGTGAGCCACTGCGCCCAGCCCAAAAAATTTTTAAAATATTAGCTGGGCTTAGTGGCATCTCTGTCTGTTTCCCAGTTTTCAAATGGAGACAATAATGATACTATACCTCAAAGCTTGTTGTAAGGACTTCAAGAGCTAGTCTATGTAAGGCATTTACAACAGTTCCACATGTTATAAATACTCAATCAAAGAAGATACTCCATTCTATTGAATATAAGATGTCATTGACAGCCAGACACAGTGGCTCATGCCTGTAATCCCAGTACTTTGGGAAGCCAAGGCAGGAGGATCACTTGAGTCCAAAGGTTCCAGGTTACAGTGAGCTATGATTGTGCCACTGCACAACAGCCTGGGTGACAGAGTGTGACACTGTTTTTATTAAAAAACAAAAAAACAGGCACAGTGGCTCATGCCTCTAATCCTAGCACTTTGGGAGGCCAAGATGGGTGGATCATTTGAGGCCCAGAGTTCAAGACCAGCCTGGCCAACGTGGTAAAACTCCATCTCTACTAAAAATACAAAAATTAGCACCTGAAGTCCCAGCTACTAATGAGACTGAGGGAGGAGAATCGCTTGAACCCAGGGGGTAGAGGTTGCAGTGAGCTGAGATCAAGCCACTACACTCCAGCCTACGTGACAGAGCAAGACTCTGTCTCAAAAAAAAAAAAGATGTAATTGATTACGAGCATTACCAATAATTTACATACTACTAAGAAATGAAAACACAACCAATTATAACTATAAGATGCTATTAATTGTAAGATATATCTCAGTTTCAGAGATGTAATGAAAGTACATCTTAAAATCAATAAAATACAGTATCATTTTTATCACGTGGTCTTTACCTGCCATATTTTGATATATGCCTTGTATCTTCATGCCATATACCTTTGTACTCACAAAGTACAGGTTTTTTGTTTGTTTGTTTGAGACGGAGTCTTGATCTGTCACCCAGGCTGGAGTACAGTGGCACAATCTTGGCTCACTGCAACCTCTGCCTCACAGAGGCAGAATCGTTCAAGCGATTCTCCTGCCTCAGCCTCCTGAGTAGCTAGGATTGCAGGCGCCTGCCAATACACCCTGCTGATTTTTGCATTTTTAGTAGAGATGGCGTTTCACCATGTTGGCCGGGTTGCTCTCGAACTCCTGACCTCAGATGATCTGCCTGCCTCGGCCTCCCAAAGTGCTGGGATTACAGGTGTGAGCCACTGTCCGGCCAGCCTGGGCCAGGGGTGGGGAGGTTTGTTAGATGGATTTTTTTTAACCTGGATTGCTCCCATTCCTCCACCCCTCTTCTGGTAAAATTTTACTCAACCTACAAGGCCCATATTAAATGACCCCTTTTTCTGTGACTCTTTCCTAAACCAGTCAGAATGAGCGCCCCGCACTCATGCTCCCATAATCCTGTGTGAACACCTCCGTCGCAATGGCCCATTGCTGGCTGGCTGCACAGTCCCTCCTGTCTGGCCAGGAGTCACCTCTCTTTCATGGTGCTCTAGCACCTAGAGCTTAGCAGGCCTTTCATCAGTTCTTCCCCAGCTGCCTGGAGAAATCAAGCAGGTTTCAGGGAAGAACCAATGAGCTGGTCCTAAAACTGGGGAATGAGCCCTTTGGGCGCGGCTGATGGAGAAGGAAGGGAAGCCTGAGGCTGATTTGGGAGTGATCTCTGAGTGCATGAAGCGGCCACACGATGCAGTGTGACGGGGCTGTTTCCTGCCCTCTGAGGGTGGGCTTCCTTGTGGCACGGGAGATTCAGGTCGGCCAGAAGGGAGAGTTTCTTCATGTTGAGTTCTCTGGAATGGGTTTCTAGGGTTATCACCTAAACCGTTTTCTCTGATGGTCATTAGCAGTGTATTACCCAAGTAGTTTAGAGCAAGGATTCTCAAAGTTCAGCTTAAATCAGACTCACATAGGGGGCTTATCAAAACTCAGCCAGGTGCACCTATAATCAATCCCAGCTATTTGGGAGGCTGAGGGAGGAGGATCACTTGAGCCCAGGAGTTGGAGGCTCCACCCCAATGAGCTATGATCGTGCTAGCCTGGGGGACAGAGGGAGACCCCATCACTTAAAAAATTAAAAATAAAAATAAAGAAAACTCAGCTTGTTCCTCTCCTGTCCTCTCCTGCTGAGCTTTTTATTCAGTAGTTCTGGGTTGGGGCCAAAGAATTTGTGTTTCTAGCAAGTTCCCATGTGATGCTGGTGCTGTAGGTCTGGGGACCAGTCCTGCAGATAGTTTGGCTTCCTAGAGGGAGGCTGATGGACACACGACCTTTCCAATTCCATGATGGAATCTTGTTTTGCTGTTCTAGGTGTTTCTAACTGGGGAGGCTACGCCTTGGCCTGCGCGCTGTACCTCCTGCACTCATGTGACATCCACAGGCAGTACCTGAGGAAAGCAGTTGGACCCTCCAGGGCACCTGGCGATCAGGCCTGGATGCAGGCCCTCCCGTCAGTCATGAAGGTAACAAACCCCGCTGGCCGCTCACCTGCAAGCAGTTTTTACCCTGCATGAGCAGCAGGCCTGAGGTCCTAACCATAGCTGAGGGCTGGCAGCCTGCTGCCCCCCAAAAGCCAGAGGCAAAACCGACTTTGAAGCAAAGGTCTCCTGGATCCAGTGCCATTTAAGCTACTCATGGTCCTGAGTCACGTGGCAGGCCTGATCCAAGTGACCATTTTCCTTCTAGTTTGACTTTAGGTGAGTTGCTTAGCTTCTCTGAGCCTCGTTTTCTTCATCTGTAAAATGGGGGCAGTCAGCATTGTTGTAGGAGCTGAATGCGTCGCCCCTGGTGGGTACTTCATACTGGTAGTAGGGGACAGGTGTCCTATCAGCCCCTCCAAGGAGTTCACCACCCAGTGAGGCCACTGAGACCTCCAGAGTGAGACAATCAGTCATGCTAAGGAAAGCTCTAAGGGGGCCAGACGAGGAGTGAAGAGAATCCTGCGGAGCCTGCAGAATAAACTGGGTAGAAGGAGAGGAACCCTGGCGGGAGGAATGCGGGGAGCAGGGGCTGGGAGGTGAGGACAGGCTTAGTGACGGTTTGGGGGAGACAGCTCTTGAGGTGGAGAACAGGAGAAAGCAGGTGAAACAAAAGCAGAAGAGGGTCTGCCCAGGGCCCTCCCTGGTCCAGCTGCATGTGGTGGCTCATGTGTGTAATCTCAGCACTTTGGGAGGCCAAGGCGGGAGGATCACCTGAGCCCACAAGTCCAAGACCAGCCTGAGTAACGTGGGGAGACTTCATCTCTACAAAAAATTTTTTAAAATTAGCCAGGCCTGGTGGCAGGTCCCTGTAGTCCCAGCTACCAGGGAGGCTGATGTGGGAGGATTACTTGAGTCTGGGAATCCAAGGCTGCAGTGAGCTATGTTCACACCACTGCACTCCAGCCTTGGTGACAGAGGGAGACCCTGTCTCAAACAAAAATCCCTGGGAATGGGCAGATCGTGTTAGCTGGACCCAAGAACAGCATGACTTTCTCCGTGAGAGGCGGCAGGGAGCCACTCAAGGGCTTTGAGTAAAGGAGTCGGAGCCCCATTCGGTGGCTTATGTCTGAGCTCCTCCGACCACAGAGGCCATGCTCTGAGTGTTGTTTGCAGTCCATGTGTGCCAGTCTAACTTATGTGAACTCACACAAGCATATGGGGAAAATACAAAAGAGAGGCGGCCAGCTCCCAGCACCCGAGCCTGAGCAGCCGGGAGGCGGCAGGACTGGCTCTTCCTTCCTTGGGCCTCAGTCTCCGTGGCCCTCATGGAGCAAGCCCCGCCCCCAACTCTGATTTCAGGCTCTAACCTGCCTCTTCTGGGGCTCCTCAAGGAGATGGGGCCTGCCCTGCCTGGAGGAGAAGCTGGTGGACCAGACGTAAGGGACGTCCACGATGCCTCAGTCCCTAACGGGACACCTACTTGGGGAATTTGGACCTTGGAGAAATGGGGCCAAAGCTCTGACTTTACATCTAAATCTTGGGTCAGATGTGACTTCACCTGTGAGCAGACAGCAGCCTCAGGGAGTAGAGGTGGGTGTTGAAGCTTGTGGAAGAGGACTGGTCTGGGGAGATGGGAAGGAAGGCAATCCAAGAGGCAGGAGGCTGCTGAGCACTGAGCCTGCAGAAGAGCCCGCGTTTGGGTGGGCAGTTGCTATGAGTCCCTGGCCAGCAAGCAGGCCCCGTAGCCTCCCACAGTCAGCAACCAGGCATCTGCACTGCTGCCTCTTTTCTGTTTTTTTTTTTTTGTTTTTTTTTTTGAGACGGAGCTTTGCTCTTATACCCAGGCTGGAGTGCAATGGCATGATCTTGGTTCACTGCAACTTCCACCTCCCGGGTTCAAGGGATTCTCCTGCCTCAGGCTCCCTAGTAGCTGGGATTACAGGTGTGCACCACCACACCCAGTTAATTTTTTTTTTTTTTTTTTTTGGTTTTTTTATTTTTAGTAGAGATAGGGTTTCACCAAGTTGGCCAGGCTGGTGTTGAACTCGTGACCTCGGGTGATCCACTCGCCTCGGCCTCCCAAAGCGCTGGGATTACAGGCGTGAGCCACCCTGCCCAGCCTCTTTTTTGTCTTTCTTTTCTGTTGTCTTGTACCCTGTCTCTTCCCTGTTTCCTTCTGTCTGTCTCTCCGTCTCTATTTCTCTGTGCCTTTCTCTTCCTGCCCTGGCCTTTGTTTCTCTCCAGCACCTGCCTGGATTGGTGGTATCATTCCCATTTTACAGACGAGGGAGCTGGAGCTCTGAGAGGCCGGTGGCTTGGCTGAGACCGCCCAGCTGGGAGGCAGAGCTGGGATCTGAGTCTAGGTCTCACTGACTCCATTCTCCGGGCTTTCCCCAATACCGCTCAGATATGTCCCAATTCCTGGTAGTGCCAGGGTGACACAGGGGAGTAGGAGCTCAGGCAGCTGTGGCGACATTTTCAGAGGGAAATGGTCTGCCCTAGAGGGGCCCAGAGGGCCTTTTGTGCTTTCTTTATACTTCCTGGATCTGAACTGGAAAAAAACACGCAAGAGTTCCCTCACACATGATTCCTGATTCACACAGACACAAAAGAATGACCCCAGCCAAATAAATCCGCATAGCCCAACACACACCCACTAAAGACTGAAGCTTTTCTTTCTGCATTTCCACCCAGTCCTTCATAAGTTGATTAATAATGTACCACCCTTATAAAGAACATAGAATGGGGATTTTTTTTTTTTTTTTTTTTTTTTTTTTTTTGAGTCTGAGTCTCACTCTGTCACCAGGCTGGAGTGCAGTGGAGCAGTCTTGGCTCACTGTAACCTCCGCCTCCCAAGTTTGAGCGATTCTCCTGCCTCAGCCTCCCGAGTAGCTGGGATTACAGGCATGCACCACCATACTCAGCTAATTTTTGTATTTTTAGTAGTGACAGTGTTTCACCATGTTGGCCAGGCTGGTCTTGAACTCCTAACTTCAAGTGATCCGGCGGCCTCAGCCTCCCAACGTGCTGGGAACACAGGCCTGAGCCACCGCTCAAAATGGGGATTTTTAAAAGCAAAAGTACAAACAAACACACGTTTGTCCAGCCCCTCCCCTGGGCCAGGCCCAGGCTTGCTCTGGGGGACAATAAGGAGTCAGACATGGTCCCTGGGTGGAGGACTCAGGGCCCACTGGGGGGACAACACAGGACAGGCAATGTCAGGAGCCAAGATGGAATGTGCACAGTAAGCTTCGGTGGAGGCTGGGCGCGGTGGCTCACGCCTATAATTCCAGCACTTTGGGAGGCTGAGGTGGGCGGATCACTTGAGGCCAGGAGTTCGAGACCAGCCTGGCCAATGTGGTGAAACCCCATCTCTACCAAAAATACAAAAATTAGCCAGGAGTGGTGGCAGGTGCCTGCAGTCCCAGCTACTCGGGAGGCTGAGACATGAGAATCACTTGAATTTGGGAGGTGGAGGTTGCAGTGAGCCATGATCACGCCACTGCACTCCAGCCTGTGTGACAGAGTAAGACTCGGTCTCAAAAAAATTTGAAAAAAAAATTAAGAAAAAAATAAGACTTCTGTGGGAGCACAGAAAACAGGGCTTAGGTCAGAGAGTTCAGGGAAGGCTGTCTGGAGGAGGTGGCACTGAGCTGTCTTGAGGAGTGAGAAGGATATAAGTAGCCAGGTAAGGAAGGGTGGAAAGGGCCTTCTAGGCAGCAGAAGCCACATAGGCAAAGGTATAGGGACATGAGGCCATGCAGCGTGCAGGGGAAATAGCTAGAATCATCACACTGGAGTTCTGCGGGTCACCTGTGGGGGTCCTTGAGTTATCCAGAGATGCTGGGCGAAGCTGTGGCCTGAGCCAGTGGCAAAGCTTGATTGGTTGGGGCAGAGAAATGTCTCACAGCTCTGCTCAGTGAGTTGCTTCTAAGTGGAACCTCCTGCATTTGGGGACAGAGCTTCTTAGGGATCTGACTCTGACTGTGGCAGAAGTGGGCACCATGCCAAGGAGGCCAGGGAAAGTGGACACCAGTACCGGGGCATGCCCTGCCCACTCTGGCCCTTGGCCCAGGGGCGCCCCAGAGTGAGGGAGAGGCAGTTCCTTTGGGTTGTACTTGAGGGAAAACATTCCTCAAATGTCATCGAGGGCCAAGAGCCAATTGGTGACTCTTTACAGGGGCGCTCAGGGTACCTGCAAGGTCAGACAAGGAGGGCTTGGAGCTAAGGGGCTGGAGAACTTGGTCTTTCTCAGCTTGGGGGCCCAAAGCGTGCAGTTTGGCAGGGAGACAGAGCTCTGGGCAGGGGATGGGGTCCCTGGTGGGGACTGAAGGCCTCCAAGCATGGGGCCATGTTCCCCTCAGTCCAATGGAGGCCAGCTCTGCCTGGATGCGGGTCTGGATGTATACATCTATCCAAGGATACATAGGTATACATCCTTGCAACTACCACCAAGATTAAGACACAAAACAGTTCCAGCTTCCCAGGAGGTGGTTGGGGTCACTCTCTTTTCTGTACTGTGTAGTTTGTGGATTTCTCGTCTGTTTCCTAGGACCAAGTCCTTTATAAAAATGTCTGGCCTGCCTTGGGTGAGTGAAGTGGGTAGTTAGGAAGATCACAGGCTCGGCAGGCTGCCTGATTCAAGTCCTGGCTCCACCCACTTCAGCCTTGAGCAAGTCTCCAACCTCAGCCTTTCTCAGTTTCCTCGATTAGGGCCGTAACAGACCTACCTTTCGGTTACTGTGAAGATGAAATGAGTCCCCTTGTGTAAAGCACTTAGCACAGTGTCTGGCGTGTATTAACAGTAAGTGTCCAATAAATGCCAACCATCACCATCACCATCATCATCCTTCTTATCATGACAAGGTCCTTTCTTTACTTCAGTCAGGCTGGGGCAGGTGTCAGGGTGTCCCTGAGCCAGGCTTGGTGGTGGCAGCAGGTGGCCTATCCCAAGGAGAGCTCCCTCAGGAAGAGCAGAAGGAGGTGAAGGCCAGGAGACAGAGCTGGGCCTCCAGATGCTGTGTGGCGTCACATGGGACTGTCTGTCTTTCCCTGTGTGGTCGGGAGGCAGATTGAGCTGTTTCTTCCGCTGCCACACTCCCCAGCCCTGCCCAGCCAGCCAGCTCCTCCCAAAACCTTTTGCAAAGTGAGACCGTGATTACACCAGCCCCATCCTGCTCCATGGGCAGCCTCAGCACTGCATTCCTGCCTGCCTTGCCATTGCCTGTGCCAGAGCCCAGGGCCAAGGGAGTGCCTTTCCTCACATCCCAATCCATCTCGTGCCAGCCTTTTACAAGATATCACAAAGAAGAGGCACTCCCTGGGAGGGGAGAGCCAATGTCAGAAAGCTGATGCCTGGGCAGGAAAGAGGCTAAGGGGATGTGGGGCTTGTGGTGTAAACACCAGGAAAGGTTTCCTGGACGTCCCCACCTCAACCCAGTACTCAGGGAAGAAGAACACAGCAGCTCGACCTGTTTACATCACTGCATTGAAGTGGAGGCTGGAGGGAGCTGCCTGAGGGCTCTGGCCAGGCTCCCAACCCCTTTGTGCTCCATCTCTGCTCCAGGGTAGATACTGAGCACCTATGGTGAGCATGGTTGTGCAATATTCCATCAGCCCAGGGCACAGCAGCCACGCGGGTTGGGGAAACAGAAGAGGACCCTTTTATTCACATGTCCAGTGGTAGGTTGGGAGTGAGGGACCAAAGAGTGCGAGCTCTTGGAGGAACAAATGATGACTTATTTGTCTCTACTTCAGGGCCAGGCCCAGGGAAGGCACTCAGGAAATGTTAGATGGGGAGACAATGAATGGATGCATGGATAGATGGATGGATGGATGGATGAATGGATGGATGAGTGGATGGAGGAATAGAGGGTTAATGGATGGATGGATGGATGATGGATGGATGGGTGGATGGAGGGATGGGTGAATAATGGATGGATGCATGGAGGGATGGATAGATGGATGATGGATGGATGGAAGATGGGTGGATGGATGGGTGGGTGGATGGGTGGATGGAGTGATGGATGGATAATGGATGGATGGATGCCTGGATGGGTGGATGATGGATGGATAGTTGGGTGGGTAGATGGGTGGATTATGAATGGATAGATGATGGATGGATGGATGGATGGATGGGTGGATGCATGCATGGATGGATGGATGATGGATGGACAGATGGGTGGGTGGATGGGTAGATGAAGGGAAGAAGGGATGGATGGATAATGGATGGATGCATGGATGGATGGATGGATGGATGGGTGGATGGATGGATGGATGGGTGGATGCATGCATGGATGGATGGATGATGGATGGATAGATGGGTGGGTGGATGGGTAGATGAAGGGATGGATGGATAATGGATGGATGCATGGATGGATGGATGGGTGGACGGATGGATGGATGGGTGGGTGGATGGGTGGATGAAGGGATGCATGGATGGATGAATGGATGGGTGGATGGAAGGAGGGAGGGATGGATGGATGAATAGATGAATGGATGCATGGATGGATACATGCACAGATGGAAGGTGAGCAGATGAAAGAATGAATGCTTTGATGGATGGGTGATGCAGAGAGGCAGGAACAGCCTCGGGCCTCATTCTGGGCTCCCATTCTCTTCCAGCACTTTCATTCACCCTACTACTCTTTATAACTTATTTTTATTAAGGTATATTTAACATACAATAAAGTGTGTACACCTTAAGTGTACAGTTGGATAAATTTTTGCATAGGTATACACCCCTGCAAACACCACCAGGATTAAGACATAAAAAGGTTCCAGCTTCCCAGAAGGCACCCCACTTTGAACAGCGTCCTCACCTTCCATGCATATCTGCCCACCATGCTCCCAGTGTGACTTAATAGCAAGCATCCATACACTTAGCCTCTATACACTCAGCATCCACACGCTCAGCCATCCTGGGGCCCCCCTCCCCATCCAAGCTCTGTCTACTATCCCTCACTTAGGTCTTGGGTCCTCCATTCCTTCTCTCCTGCCTTGTTGTCTTAGCCTGGACTGGTGCAGCGGCCTCTGGGCACCCTGCCCTCAGCTGCTCCCCGATGATTCTCCTCCCCCACCATTACCACCTCTGCCTCTTAGAAGACGGCATGGTCATTCCATGATTCTTGGAAATTTGCAGAGAGTAGCTACTGGCCTAGCTGGTCCCTGTGTCTCTTAGAGGCTGGGTGCCAGCCAGCTCCAAACTTGTTGGCTGATCACGTGCTCCCTGAGGACCCCACAGCCCTTCCTGGGGCCCAGAAGGATGAGACTGGTGGGGGAAAACAGTGTGCTATGGGGAAATGGCACCATAGTCCCAGAAACGCTCCCCCTAAAGAGAGGATATGACCAATGGAGAAGAGAAGTGAGAGGAAAAAGCCCAAACAAAGGGCGGGAAATACCATTCTGGGTGGGTAGCTCCTGAGAAGGGGCTCTTGGACAAAGGACACATGTGAAAGTGAAAATGATTTCAGGCCTCCCTCCCACAGAGGAACATGCTTCTTGGCCCCCAGGGCGGAATAGAAATGCAGACTCTCAGGCCAGCCGTGAAGAGACAGTTCACAGGTGACATTTGCCAATGCTTTGTCTATTATTTGGAAAAAGTTATCAGTAAGTGACCCTCCAGGGCTCTCAGCTGGCTTATTTTTATTCTTTCATCACCTCTGATCTTAGTTGCCCCTTGTCTTAGCTCCAACCGCTGTTAAAAAGAGATACTATTAGACTAGGTGTCTTGAACGACAGAAATTTAGTTATCACAGTTCTGGAGGCTGGGAAGTCCAACATCAAGGGGCCAGTAGTTTCGATTCGCTGGTGGGGGCTCTCTTCCTGGCTTACAGATGGCCGCCTTCTTGCTGTGTCTGCATATGGTGGAGAGAAGTAGTGCTCTGGTTTCTCTTCTTCTAAGGGCACTAGTCCCATTATGAGGACCTCACTCTCATGACCTCATCTCAACCTAATTACCTCCCAAAGACCCCACTTTCGAATTCCAACAATTGAGGATTAGGGCTTCAACATACAAATTTTGGGGGTACACATTCAGTCCATAACACCCCTCCTCCGGAAAATGTTCCCTAAGCCATACCAAAGAGCTGGGTTGGGTGCCCCTGCTCTGTGCTTTGACATCCTATACTGTGACTTCCTGATTACTTATCTAGACTCTGAACCCCATGGGGGCAGGGACCACGTCACATTCACCACTGTATCCCTAGTCAGGGCCTGGCACATACATAGCAGGTGTTCAATAAACCTTTGATCAATGGTGGGATGAATGAGAAAATGCCTGAGCCGGGAGGTGAGAACCTTCTCCCATCTGCCCTAATGTCTTGTTCTAGATTCCTTAGGTCCCTACCTCTGTCTTCCTGCCCTTGTTTATGGAGGAAGAGGAGGAGGAGGAGGAAGAGGAGGAGGAGGAGGAGGAGGAGGAAGAGGAAGCAGAATAAGAGGGAAGGATGTGTTTGACTTGCATTATGCCTTCACTTGAGACTCACTCTCCTTAGGGGAGCCTGTGCTGTTCACTAGGGACAGACACATTAGCGGCTTAGACAAGAGGTTGTTTGGGACCTTATTTTTGAAAGGAGGGGGATGGAGGAGGATCGAACCACTTTTTTTCTCTTTTTTAACCCACAGGCAAGCAAAGGGAGAAAGTTCTAGGCTAAAGGCCAGAAGACCTAGCCCTGCAAATCAGATCAACCTTATTTTGTGAATACCTATTGTGTGCCAAGGACGCTGCTAGGTGCTTTACTTGCGTCTAATCCTCAGAACAACCCTCTAAAGGAGACATGAGCCCCTTCATCATCACCCTCCCCGTTTTACAGATGAGCACGCTGGGGCACAGAACAGTTAAAATTCCTGCCAGGAAAGACTCAAGTCAGATCTATCCGATCCCCAAACCACTCTGCCTGCTAGGCCCTGGGCTGCGGCTTCAGGATGGGGCTATGTGTTCTCTGTGGCTCTGCTATCCCAGATGCTCCCACTCCCACAGACATGCTGGCCATTTCTAGAAGGCGGCAGCAGCAGGATTTTTGCATTTGCCCCACATTAGGCTAACAGAGGTCTCAGGAGAAATGGGGGCCTTTGGCACAAAGACCATTGGCAGATAATCCAGGGCTGGGAGGAGCCCACTGGCAAGAGTAGCCCGCACCACACCTGCAGGAGGAGTGAATCGTTAGTGTTTGTTGAGAAAATGCAGGCTAGCTAGGCGCAGTGATGCGCACCTATAGTCCCAGCTAGTCAGGAGGCTGAGGCAGAAGAATCACTTGAGGCCAGGAGTTTGATACCAGTCTGGGCAACGTAGCAAGACCCCATCTCTGAAAATGGACAAACAAACTTAAGAAACTGTGTGTTTCCACTAAAACTTATTATTAGTAGTAGTATTTTGACATGGAGTTTCACTCTCTCTCCCAGGCTGGAGTATAGTGGGGCAATCTCTGCCTCCCAGGTTCAAGTGATTCTCCTGCCTCAGCCTCCGAGTAGCTGGGATTACAGACATATGCCACCATGCCTGGCTGATTTTGTATTTTTAGTAGAGATGGGGTTTCTCCATGTTGGTCAGGCTGGTCTCGAACTCCTGACCTCAGGTGATTGACCTGCCTTGGCCTCCCAAAGTGCTGGGATTACCAGCGTGAGCCACCACGCCTGGCCTAAAGCGTATTACTTAGTTACATAATAGTAACTACTAGAAGAAGCAATATTCCCGTGATTGCTTCTGGGGAGCAGATCTGGGGGCCACTGAGCTGTGATGTGGGACACTGTTATTTTTCATGACTCTTCCAATGGTATTAGTATTTTAAACGAAGACTTTACTTTTTTGAAAATCAAGTATGTCAAGACAAAGGATCCTTCTCGTTATAGATGCGTTTAAAATAAATTTCTCTTTCCTCCCCCTCCACTTCTCCTATTCCTGCCCCATTTTTTCCCAGGAAGAAAAGATGCTGGGCATCTTGGTGCAGCACAAAGTCCGGAGTGGCGTCTCGGGCGTCGTGGGCATGGAGGTGGATGGGCTGCCCTTCCATGACACCCACGCCAAGATGATCCAGAAGCTGGTGGACGTCACCACGGCTCGGGTGTAATCCTCCATGTTCCGTGTGAGCAGAGTTCCTACCAGCGGGCAGGCCTGCATCAGGCAGGACTGTCTGCTTCTTGTGACCATCCTGCTCGTCAACACTGATCTCCAGTGAGCAACGAACACTCCCCTGGCCTGGGAAACTCTGTACCCACTTTCCGGGTGGGGTTAGTGCAGGTGATATGGACAATGGACAGCATTTCTCTGGAGCTTTTTAACTTTTATTCCTAAGACTCTAAAGGCATTGACTTCAACCCTCCTTCACGCTGGCTTCTTCAGGCCACCCACATGGTCTCTTGAGAGACGTGAGGTGAGAATCTTCTCAATAGTCACTTATGGGGACACTTGTGAGCAACTAACTGCCAGGCAGAGCATCAGAGCAAGCATTCCCAGGTCAGGTAGGATACTCCAGACTGCAGTCATCCTCCCTTATCCATGGCTTCTGTGACTCATGGTCTCTGTTACTCATGGTCAACTGCAGACAGAACATACTAAGTGAACAATTTCAGAAATAAACAACTCCTAAGTTTTAAATTGTGTGTTCTTCTGAATATTGTGATGAAATCTCGCACCATCCCGCTCCATCCTACCTGGGGCATGAATCCCCCCTTTGCCCAGGGTACACTACCCCTTTGCTGTCTACACTACCGCCTGCTGGTCACTTAGCAGGTGATCAGATCGACTATCATGGTATTGCAGTGCTTATATTCAAGTCCCTCGTTCCTTTAGGAATGTCCCCAAAGTGCAAGAGCAAGGATGCTGGCAATTTGGATCTGCCAAAGAGGGGCCATAAAGGGCTTCCTTTCAGTGAAAAGGTGAAAGTTCTTGACTAACGAAAGAAAACGTTCAGGCCAGGCACGGTGGCTCACATCTGTAATTCCAGAACTTTGGGAGTCCGAGGCGGGTGGATCACTTGAGGTCAGAAGTTCGAGACCAGCCTGACCAACATGGCGAAACCCTGTCGCTACTAAAAATACAAAAATTAGCTGAGTGTGGTGGTGAGTGCCTGTAATCCTAGCTACTCAGGAGGCTGAGGCAGGAGAATCACTTGAACCTGCAAGGTGGAGGTTGCAGTAGCTGAGATTGTGCCACTGCACTCCAGCTGGGGCAATAAGAGCTAGACTCCATCTCAAAAAAAAAGCAGTTCATATATTGAGGCTGCTAAAATCTATGGTAAGAATTAATTTTCTATTCATGAAATTGAGAAGGAGGCTGGGCGTAGTGGCTCACGCCTATAATCCCAGCACTTTGGGAGGCCAAGGTGGGCAGATCACTTGAACTCAGGAGTGTGACACCAGCCTGGCCAACATGGTGATACTCTGTCTCTACCAAAAATAGAAAAAATTAGCTGGGCATGGTGATGTGTGCGTGTAATCCCAGCTATTCAGGAGGCTGAGGCAGGAGAATCACTTGGACCTGGGAGGCAGAGGTTGCAGTAAGCCTAGATCGCCCCACTGCACTCCAGCCTGGGCGACAGAGCGAGATTCAGTCTCAAAAAAAAAAAAAAAAGGAAGAAATTTGTGCTAGTTTAGTGGTCAAACCTCAAGTTGCAAAAGTTCTGGTCACAGTGTGTGTTAAGTCATTAGTTAAGATGGAAAAGGCATTACATGTGTGGGTGCAAGACATGAACAGAAGTGTGTTCAGATTGACAGCAGTCAAATTCAGTACTATCCACTGGGGATCTTGGAACCTATTCCCTGTGAATGATGGGGCACTGTTACAAAGGACATACCCAAGCAGCCGTGCATGGTGGCTCACGCCTGTGATCTCAAAACTTTGGGAGGCCAAGGCAGGAGGATCTCTTGGGCCCAGAAGTCTGAGACAAGCTTGGACAACATAGTGAAATACTATCTCTACAAAAAAATTTTTTTTAATTTGCCAGGCCTGGTACCATGTACCCGTAGTCCCAGCTACTCATGGGGTGAAGGCGGGAGGATCATTTGAATCTGGGAGTTCAAGGTTGCAGTGAGCTGTGATCACATTGCTGCACTCCAACATGGGTGACAGAGCAAGACTTTGTTTCAAAGAAGGAAAAAAAGGCTGGGAGCAGTGGCTCGCACCTGCAGTCCCAGCACTTTGGGAGGCTGAGGCGGGGGGATCACCAGGTCAAGAGATCGAAACCATCCTGGCCAACATGGTGAAACCCCGTGTCTACTAAAAATACAAAAATTAGCTGGTTGCAGTGGCGTACACCTGTAGTTCCAGCTACTCAGAAGGCTGAGGCAGGAGAATCGCTGGAACCCGGGAGGGAGAGGTTGCAGCAATCTGAGATCGCACCACTGCACTCCAGCCTGGCGACAGAGCAAGACTCTGTCTGGAAAAAAAAAAGGAAAAATATAAAACGGTAAAATGTACAAATGTGGAATATATATTTACAAAGCTTTTGGGCTTTACAGAAGGTTTACTCACTACCACCACCAAAATATTTATACCTTTGAAATGTTTTCTTTTTTTTTTTTTCCAAACATCATTTTGTTTACTAAGGCAAAAGGTCCTTTGAGGAGCCTGACATTTATCACCATTTCCCCTCGCCTGCCTTCACTTCTGACACTGCCTCCTCTCTGTCTGCGCCTATGCCCCTCCTGAGCCTGGACCCTTCGACCTCTTGCATAGAGGGCAGCCTTACCCTGTGGGGGTCAGGCCAGTCCAGTGCCCAGGTGGCTCACAGAGTCCTCCTGAACAGCTCCAGTCACTTGCTCTTATCTCCTCCACAAGCTCCCACTGCGCAGGAGAAACTGAGTCACTGTGTCCCATTACACTCTTATGCTATCTTGTGCCGGTTGCACTGCTGAGTGACAGCTGACTCATCTGGACCAGCTTCCCAGCCATGGCCCCAAATGTTTGTTGAACCTGCTTAGTTTTCCTTCATTTCCTTAAATAGGTCTAGTTTCATTTCTTTAATGGGCAACAGTTGTGAGAACAGAACGCCTGAGATAGAAATGACCCCCTCGTTGTACGCAGCTGTTAGGCATGAGGACGTAGCCCCGTGGTTCTGGGACTGACTTCAGTTCTCCCTATGCGGGAGCGTGATGCAGCCCCTGGACGGAAGTCGCTGGGGTGGGGGCTCTCCCTTGTCATTCTAGGGGAGTTCCCTCCGGCAGGGGCTGTGCTGGTGCTGGCGCAGCATCCTGATACCTCTGACATCCTGAGAACCCAGCCCTCCAGCTGCGGCTTCTCATGGCTCCGTGAGGCCACCTCAGTTCTGCTACCTCCCTGGCCAGGTGTCCTCCAATGATGATTTTTGTCCCTGATTTGGGACTGCAGAGTTCCATGTAGCGAGGGCCTCTGATTGACAGTGTACCCTGATGTTTCTGCAATCTGGATGGCTAGAAGAGAGAAGCCCTCACTATGGTAAAGCTGCCAGCACCCTTCTGACTCATGTTTTGGGGGAAGACACGAATGGGCCTTTGTTTTTGCAGTGGTAACAGCAGGCTTCTCTCCTGGTGTGGAGGCGGCTGAGGCATAACCATGTAATGGGTTGTCCTCACTGTGGGCGGAAGTTCATGGGGAGAGGATTTCAGTTGTTTTGGGAAAGAGGCTGACATCCAGGTTGAGCCCAGAGAAAGCTGAGAATAAGGGTCCTAGACTCAGTGACGCATCCAAAGCCCCCACCCTGCTACAGGGAGAGGCAGGTCTGTGGTCCCACAGCAGGAGCTCGGGTACAAGGGAGGGTCAGAAGACGCCTTAGCAGGGCCCAGCCCAAGGACTGCAGGAGCTCTGCGTTCTAGGATCCAGCTTTGACACTTGTCCATTCCACAATAGGATTCCTGCTTAGACCTTTAGGAACGTTTTGCTCAGCTTTGCTCTTTAGTCCTAGCCTTGACTGTGCTTTGGGGAAGCACCGTATCTGTGGGATGGCCATGGGGAGCGTGGCTGCAGCCTGGAGAAGCTGGTTACAGGGGGAGAGGAGATGACCTGCAGGGAATGATGGGGTGCCTTAAGGTGAGATATGGGCCTGAGGCCAACCAGAATGGATCTGTGGGACACAGGAGCATCACTGGGTGTTTCCAAGAACATTGAGGGGAGGCGATCCTGTTAAGCAGTGCGTGGGATGCTCCGTGGATAACAGGCAGCCTATAGACCTTGGCCTCTTGAGGGGAGAAGAAGCCACGCAGACTCTGCAGGAGGTGGATCAGAGGCAAGTGAGCCAGCTCAGAAGGCCAGCACTCTGGCCAGGCGCAGTGCCTCACACCTGTAGTCCCAGCACTTTGGGAGGCCAATACGGGTGGATTGCAAGGTCGGGAATTTGAGACCAACCTGGCCAACATGGTGAAACCCTGTCTCTGCTAAAAATACAAAAATTAGCTAGGTGTGGTGGTGCACACCTGTAATCCCAGCTACTCAGGAGGCTGAGGTGGGAGAATTGTTTGAACCTGGGAGGCAGAGTTTGCAGTGAGCTGAGATCGCACCACTGCACTCCAGCCTGGGCTACAGAGCAAGACTCTGTCTCAACAAAACAAAACACCTGTTAAGTTGAGGTGTCTGTCTGTCAGAACAGAGCTGTCTGTCAGAAACTAGCCAGATGCTCAACAATTCTGCCTCTTTTTCCTGCATCTATAGGAAAACTACATTCCCCAGCCTCCCTTGCAGTTAGGTTGGGGCCCCATGCACCAATGGAGTGTGAGTAGCAGGGAAATCAACCATTTCCATACTTGGCCAAAAACCCCTGTGAGATTCTCTTTTTGCTGCTTCCCCTTACCTGTGTGGATGAAAAGGGAAGACCCCGAGATGATAGGCTCTGGTGATGGGAGGATCCTGAATCAGGGCCATCGCTTTGGGAAAGACTTGCCAGAAAGTCGCCTCTCATTGGGCTTTGCATGAAGTTTTCTGCCCTGAAATAAGTCGTCTTGGGTAGTAGTGAGTTGTCATTGGTGGTGCTAGTAGAGAGACTGGACTATCATTTTTGGGGAATGCAGAGGGGAGACTTCATGGAGAGGGAACTGGATATTATGACTTGTCTGGTATACACCAGCACTGATATCTAATGTGTAATTTAGCAGTGTTCTTCTAAAAGTTGTTGAATGGAAGCAAATGGGATTGAAATCCCAACATTTCCCCAGAGTACTGGGCACTATTATAACCTCAGGATGAATGCCATCTGTCTTAGTCCATTTTCTATGGCTATAACAAAATGCCACAGACTAGGTAATTTATAAAGAACAGACATTTATTTCACTGTTGTTCTAGAGACTGGGAAATCCAAGAACATGGTGCCAGCATCTGACAGGGGTCATCTCATGGCAGAAAGCAGAAAGGCAAGCAAGCTCTGAAGACAGAGGAAAAGAGGGCTGAACTTCCCCAATAACAAACTCTCTCCCACCATACATCATTCATCCATGACCTAACACCTATTAAAGGTCCCACCTCTCCACACAGTTACAATGGCAATGAAATTTCAGCATGAGTTTTGGAGGGGACATTCAATTCATAGTATCATCAAAGACCACTGTCTTGCCAGATTATTTCCAGGGATAGAGGCTTCAGGATCACCAGCTACAAGGAGTGGGTTTTTCAGAAAAGCAATGAGCCAAGAGGGTCAGAGTCTGACTCTCTTTCGGTTGGACTAGCCAGAGGAATGCAGCAGATGGGGATGTATTTCGTGCTGAAAATTTCTCCCACTCTTGTCTAGCCAAACCCACAGACCAGTATGTGTAACAGGAAGATGAGCCCTGTGTATAAACAGGAACATGAGCCCTCATCTGACTGAACAACGCTGGTGAATAAGAAATAAATCCTAATGGTTTCTGTCACCTTCCAAACCAGATGGACTTTTTCTCCCACCCATCCTCTCAGGAGAGAAAAGAGTCATAATCCCCAATGATGTCCTTACTTAGTCTGTTTAGAATAAGGATCTACTCTTCTGGAACACTCCAGGACTCTAGGAGCCTGACCTAGAGGGGGATTAAGTGACCAAGATCAAATTTACATTTTAATATGATGCAGTTAATCCTCAGTGATAAACATGGCATATGCCATTGTTGAGAAGATGCTCCAGCCTAAAGAGGCAGGTCAGCAAATGTGGGCCTCTCCAAACAAAGCCTTGTCACGGAGGACAGCCCCACAGAGATGAATGCAGCAGGCCCTTCTACATTGGAAATCTTCTCTAGTGAGGAGGGGGTGGCCTGATGGAGCCCTCCTTCACTGTGGGGAGCAGCTACCCAGCAGGTACAAGGGATCCTGGGACCAAGGACAGAGGGGGTGATATTCTCCAAACCACATGACTGGGCTCTGCCCTCAAAAAGGAGTTGTCCAAATTAGGCCCCAGAGTGAATTTGCAACACCACGATCAAGAGCTGGGTGGCACTTTATGAATCTCAAGCAGAGAGAAGGCTCTACTTCATTCAAGGGCTATGTCCTTCTCCACCATTTTTGGGTGATCAAGTGTAAATCCCCTAATCGCTCTGCTTGAGTTTGCCCTGAGAAGGTCAACCCCGGCCCTTCCTGACTCCTTTGGTTCTTCAAGGGCCCTCTAGATCCCCCCAGTGTTGGGAATCCCCTACCCCATAAAGACCGCAGAATACTTCCAAGGTGTCTGGTTACTTTGCTTTATTTGCAGACTGAAGTTTGCTACATAAATCCATTGCACAGTCAACACATATGCACTTGGCAGAAAGAGAGGACAATACAAAAATACAGCTCTTGATAGTAAATGATACTGCCCTCAGCTCTTCCCAGTCCGTAGTCAGTGGGAAAGCTGGTGTTTAAGGTCAACATAGGAGGAAGAACTGTGGAATGAGGCATGGAAGCTTACACCAATGTCACTGATCCAGGAGGATCCTGGGCTGAGTTGCATGGACTCTTGTTGGCTGTGTGGTCATTTCTGCCACCTTCAAACTTGGTCACTTCCTCCTCTAGGAAGGGGAAGGGAACCTCCCCATGTCACTGGCACCTTCAAACTTGGTCACTTCCTCCTCTAGGAAGGGAAAGAGAACCTCCCATGTCACTGGACACCCTTCACAAGGATCTGAGCAGGGACTGCTCAGTCAAAGCCAAGTGTAGTCCTGGGACCACCGTGAGCACCCCTCCCTGGAGCACCTCCAGCCTGCGCTGTCTGCCTCTGAGCATCCCTGATGAAAGGGCTAAGAGACATAGCACAAAGGAAAGAGGGGAAGGGAGACTGAGGAAGGGGTTCTGCCTGGGCCTCCCTTTGGTAGATTCCAGAAATGTTTACTGATGCCAACTTCTACTCCTCGCCCCTGGTCCCTTCTTGGAAGAAGCCTATGTAACCTCTTGGTTCTGAGGAATTTGAGTTGCAGGTCTTGGAGGGCATGACCTGAGAAGTCAGAGCTGGTCTCAGCCCACCAACCAGAAGATCTAAAGGGCTGGCATTTCTGTGGAGGGGGCAGGTCTCCTGGGGCAGCCAGTGGCTCTCCCAGTTCTTGTGGCTGGAGCTAGCATCCTCCTCTGCCTATAGCTCCCCCTCTCCCCCACCCCAGCCTGAGTTCCAAACACCCACTACCTTCCCTCTCCCCTCCTCCTTCTTCCTCTTTTCCTTCCCCCAATTCCTCCCCGCTCCTGCTTTCTTTCCCCCTCCTGCCTTCTTCCCCCCTCCTGCCTTCCTTTCCCCTCCAGTCTTCACTTCCCACACTGTTGTGGGTAGGACTCCAGTGCTGGTCCCACCGGGGCATCTGGACACACATTGTCTGTGACAACAGTGGCACTGGAAGCCCTGGCAGGTAAACCCCCAGGCTCCCACCATCCACGTCCTCACAGTCCCCATGCACAAACTCTCTGCAGGAAGCAGGCCGGGAAGCGCAGTTCACTGTCTCCCCGCCCCAGCAGCCCCAGCTTGGCCACATCATACTCTGCGGCAGAGGCCACCATGAGCCGACGAGGGCTTATTCCCACCCTCGATGGTCTCCGTGGGCTCGGCAAGTGAGAACAGGCTTCCGGAGTCACAGGGGCCACGCCGCCTCAGCAGAAAGCTGCACTGGTGCTGAGCGAAACAGGAAGTGGCCAACCCTGAGGCCTGTGGGCTGAAGGCTCCTGCCTCACGTGGCCCCACCCACGGGGGACCCAGGCTAGGCCGAAGCATCTGTGGGGGACCCTCCCGCCCCTGGTGAGTTGGGGGTCTGGAAGGCCGGGTGGAGCTTGGTCAACAGCTCGGGCTCCTCGCCCTGGGCCCCGCTTTTCCCGGAGGCCTCGGAGGCACCTAGTGGGTAGGCCTCCCGGGCCCGGCCGGTCCTGGAGCAGGTGAAGAAGGCCAGGCAGGCCCCGCGGAGCCGGGCCAGGTCCCGGTGGGTGGTCTCGCTGACGAAGCAGTAGAGCACGGGGTCGGCAACGCAGTTGAAGCTGGTGAGCAGGAGGGAGAAGTGGTAGGCGTTGAAGATGCCCTTGGCGAACTCGCAGCTGGCCTCCCAGAGGCTGCGCACCAGCAGCAGCACGTGGTAGGGCAGGAAGCAGGCCAGGAAGATGACCACGGTGCTGAGCACCAGCCGCTGGATCTGGTCCTTGCGGCTCTTCTGGGTGCCGTGGCTCCGGCGCACAGCGCGCAGGATGCCCTGGTAGGAGGCCAGCAGCAGGCAGATGGGGAAGAAGAAGCCCACCAGGAAGCGGTAGTAGTTGATGCCGCGCTGCCACGCCTGGATGGGGTAGTGCTCGAAGCACACGCGGTGCTGGTCCTCGTCCTCGATGACCTCCTCGTGCATCAGGAAGTAGATGCTGGTCAGCAGCTCCTTGGCCCAGATGACCACGCTGATGCCCACAGCCGCCTTCAGGGTCCGGAACTGGTGGAAGCGGAAAGGATGGGCCACAGCCAGGTAGCGGTCGACGGAGATGCAGCAGAGGAAGCCCACGCTGATGTAGATGTTCTCGTAGAGGAGGATGCCGCACACCTGGCACGACAGGTCGCCGTGTGACCAGTTGTCGTGCTGCAGCACGTACTGCAGCCAGAAGGGCAGCGAGCAGATGTAGAAGAGGTCGGCCACCGTCAGGTTGCACAGGTACACGCCCAGCTCGTTCCGGGCCTTGATCTGCAGGTAGCCGAAGTAGAGGGACAGGCAGTTGGCCGGGAAGCCCACCACCAGCACCATGACATAGACCACCGGGGCCAGCGTCTGGTGGATGGTGTGGTCGATGGTGCAGCCCACCGAGGAGTTGTCTGCAGTGATGTTCCCCATCTTTGGGCCTGGAGGGGCCTCACCCCTCATGGACTCATGGACCAGGTCTGTCTCTCCACCGCCATCCTGTTTATAGAAGGTGGTTCAAGCTCTACCAAGGGCTGGGCATCACTGGTGGTGGGCGAGACCCTGAAAGTCAGAGGCAGGAGAAGCTTAGAATAATAGTAGCTAGCATGTATGTAGCATCTGCTATGTGTTAGGCACCGTTCTGAATTCTTCACTCGTTTAATTTAGAAGGTGTGCTGGCCCGCCAACTCCAATTCAACTAGAATGTCTCAACGGCCAGATATGATGGCTCACACCTGTATTTCCAGCACTTTGGGAGGCCGAGGCAGGTGGATCACCTGAGGTCAGGAGTTCCAGACCAGCCCGGTCAACATGGCAAAACCCCGTCTCTACTAAAAATACAAAATTTAGCTGGGCATGGTGGCATGGATTAATATAACTGTAATCCCAGTTGCTCGGGAGGCTGAGGCAGGGGAATTGCTTGAGCCTGGGAGGCAGAGTTTGCAATGGGCCAAGATCGTGCCACTGTGCTCCAGCCTGGATGACAGAGGGAGACTCCATCTCAATAAAACAAACAAACACTAAGAATATATCCAAATGAGTCACATACCAAGATGCCGAAGGGTAGTTTACATCTCCCCTCCCCATTCCCTGGCTTTGCCAATTTATTCCCTATCCTTTATATATTTTCCTGCCCTCTTGGTGTAGCAAGTAAGGCTGGAGGTTCTCATGAGCCTGCTCTCCCAGGGAGACTTGGGGCAAAGATCAGTTCTAACCCACACGCGACAGCACCGGCCACCCTCATCCACGGCAAGAGGCGTCATTCACATTTGTCCTATTTGCTCACAGGAATGTACTACGTAGGTCCATTAACACTGAGGCCAATGCCCCGCATGGCAGCCTCTCCAGATAGTATCAGAAGAGGTCCAGCCTTGTCCTCACTTTACCACATTCTGGTAAGAAACAAAAGCCCAGTTTCCTGCAAGCACAGCCTGGACTCTGGGGTGCTCACCCAGCAAGACCTACCTCACCTCTCCATGGAGCTCCAGAAAAGCTCTGGACCAAGGCCCCAGGACGTGAGCGCCAGGCCACGGCCAGCCACGTACAGACTCTGCAAGCCACTTACCTTGTCTGAGCCTCAGTTTCCTCACCTATCAAATGGAGATAAAACGCTCACCCTCGGGGGTCAGTATCAGGGCCACATCAAGGGATAAATATGAGAACACAGGGCATCGTTTTTCCAGAAGCAAAGGGGAGGAGTAAGAGATTATAATCTTGCTGGAGTTAGTGAAAAGTTCCCATTTATTGGCCAGGTGCAGTGGCTCACACTCGTAATCTCAGCATTTTGGGAGGCTGAGGTGGGCAGATCACTTGAGATCAGGAGTTTGAGACCAACCTGGCCAACATGGTGAATCCCCGTCTCTACTAAAAATCAACCAGGCATGCTGACAGGTACCTGTAATTGCAGCTAGCTACTCGGGAGGTTAAGGCACGAGAATCACTTGAACATGGGAGGCAGAGCTTGCAGTGAGCTGAGATCACAGCACTGTGCTCCAGCCTGGGTGACAGAGCAAGACTCCATCTCAAAAAAAAAAAAAAAAGGTCCTATTATTGAGGATTTAACAAAGAAGATTCCAGATATACAAATAAGTTTGAGCAAGATAGAATACAATGTTTTGTTTGGGCACGGTGGCTCACACCTGTAATCCCAGCACTTTGGAGGCAGAGGCAGGTAGGTCACCTGAGGTCAGGAGTTTGAGGCCAGCCTGGCCAACATGGTGAAACCCTGTCTCTACTAAAAATACAAAAATTAGCCAGGTGTTGTGGCAGGTGCTTGTAGTCTCAGCTATTTGGGAGGCTGAGGCATGAGAGTCACCTGAACCCAGGAGGTAGAGGTTGCAGTGAGCTGAGATCATGCCACTGCACCCTAGCCTGGGTAATAGAGCAAAACTGTCTCAAAAACAAAACAAAACAAAAACCTTCTTGGATGAATAGGTGAATGGCACTTTCCATCTTCCAGGTGAGGAAACTACAGTTCTGAAGGGCAAGTGCCTTTCCTGGAGCCAGCCTGAGGAAGGACATCTGCTGCTGGAATCCAGGTCTCCTTGCTCCCATCCCACCTCCCTGCCAGCACAGTCTCCGCTTGAGACTCAGCTCCCAACCTCTCCGTTCCCAGAAAACAGGGACTCCCAGTCTCTGACTCACCTCCTCCGTCCTCTCCAGGACACTGGCCTAGAATTTCAGTGATGGTGGTGGAGGGAGGTGCTTCTTGTTTTCGTTGTAGTAAAATGCACGTAAATAACATTTACCCCTTTAGCCACTTGTAAGTGGCATTAAGTGCATCGACACTGTTGTGCGACCATCAGCACCCTCCATCTCCAGAACTCTTTTCATCTTGCAAAATTAAAACCCTATACCCATTAAATAATACCTCCCAGCCCCTAGCAACCACCATTTCTGTCTCTATGAACTCGACTATTGTAGGTACCTCATATAAATGGACAAGCCTGTTGTGTCTGGCGTATTTGACTTAGCATAATGTCTTCAAGGTTCATCCACACATGTCAGAATTTCCTTCCCTTTTAAGGCTGAATAATGGTCCATTGAATGCACAGCCCACATTTGGTTTATCCATTCACTGATGGGCACTGGGATTTTTTTATTAGGCTATTGTGAATGAAGCTGCTATGAACATGAGTGTAGAAAGATCTGTTCAAGTTCCCACTTTCAGTTCTCTTGGGTATATACCCGGGATTGGAATTGCTGGGTCATATGTTGGTTCTATTTTTAGTTGTTTGAGGAACCACCATACCGTTTTCCATCATGGCTGCACCAGCTGACATTTCCACCAGCAATGCACAAGGGCAGGTTTTGGGTTGGTTGGTTTGTTTTCACTTGTATGTTTTGGCGGCGAGAGAAAGGGGAGAAGGCACAGCTGAAGCCCATGATCCAAAAACTGCCCACAACCCAGTGAATCAGAAGTCGGCCCTAGTCACCCTCCTCTTGCCAGCCCTCCTGTCCCTGAATTTCACGCTCGCATCTGTGGGGCCAAATGCTTTGCCAGGATTACAAATCCACAGCAGCCCGTGTTCCCGAATGGTCCTCAAGGCACCTATCCAGAGCTGTTCCTGTTTCAGGAATTTACTTCAGGTTCTCTGCAGTCCATAGAAAATCCACCCACAGGAAGATAAAATCCATTCATAAGCACAGGCCCCCAGGCTCCCCCCAGACGGCAAATGAAATCCCCATGAAAACACAACCAGTCGTCCTGGAAATGCGCTGAACGTCACCAGGCTGTGGTTTACGAGTGGTGGGTGTATATGTGCATAGGGTGGTGCTTCCTCTTCCCCAGGCCAACAATAAGCTAATTCTGGCAACCAAAGTCAGAAACATTCAAGCCCACAGAACAAAGAAGAAACATTTACTACGTTTAGATGAAAGCACCCCCTACGTTCATTTTGGAGAGAAAAGAGGGTTTTGGTATTCCAACGCTGCCGTCCTTGAACTTAGGTGCAACAGAATCCCCTGGCGAATTTGTTATGATGGATTGCTAAGCCTCCCCTCCAGAGTTTCAGACTCAGTGGGTCCGGGGTGGGGCTCAAGTATTTTACATTTCAAACAAGCTGCCAGGTGACGGGAATGCTGCCAGCCCATGGACCACACTTTGAGTAGCAAGGTACTAGGAGCTTCTGGAAGGTCCCAGGTTCGGTTCCTGAGCACATGCCCTACAAGAGCTCCCACGGCAGGGAAACAGAGGCAGCTGGAAGGGGAATGTGATCCAGCAGGACCTTGTGGGCACAAGAAGAACGCAGCCCTTGCGATGTCTCCTGGCTGATTCAAGGCGTCAAGAAAGAGTGATTAAACCTGAGTACTTACACCTTTTATTTGCAAAATACTTTAGAGTGTACAGAGCTTTTCAGTCTGTTCTCTTGTCCAATTCTAAAAACAGCTTTTTAGAGATGTCCCCATTCTACAGATGAGAAAACTGAGGTCAGTGAGAGGAAGCAGTATCCTGGCTTTCACCGCACGAGTGTTTGTACAGCATCTCCAATGTTCACAGCACCAGGCTAGACACGGAGCACTTAGGGGTCACAAGAAATGGGCTGGGTGTGATGGCTCATGCCTGTAATCTCTGCACTAGCTGAGGCGAGAGGATCACTTGAGCCCAGGAGTTCAAGATGAGCTTGGGCAACATAGTGAGACTCTTTCTCTATATAAAATTTAAAAATTAGCTGGGACTGTAGGTGTGGTGGTGCTCACCTATAGTCCCAGCCAATCAGAAGGCTGAAGTGAGGGGATCACTTGAGTCCAGGAAGTCGAGGCTGCAGTGAGCCATGTTCGTGTCACTGCACTTCAGCCTGCGTGACAGAGTGAGACGCCCATCTCAAGCAAATGCAAGAAATGGCTCCCAGCCACAGGAACCTGCAAGCTTGAAAGAAAGGAATGCCACGTGCACACATCACTAGCATGCAAGGCAGTATGGCGGGTGCAGTGGGCATATGGTGGGTGCAGTGGGCATCTCTCCCGCACACATTAAACACGGGTTTGCCCTTTTTACTCCATGTGCACTCTCTGTGGGATGGCTGGCTCTCCGTGGTTTCAACCCCACCTACACTCTGATGACTCCCCGGTCCCTCCCAAGATAAAGACATAACCGGCTTCCTGCCCCTCACAGGACATGCTCAGTGAGGCCCACATTGGGTCCATCATTTTCTCCACTGGTCAGTTATTGGAAGGGGCACCCCACCTGCCCAGCTACTCAAGTCAATGGCTGGCCTTCAGCTTTCTCCCTCATCTTCATCCATAGTATCCAGTTAATTTCCAAGTTCTGCCATTTTCAACTCCCAAGTATTTCCTACATCCATCTCCTCCTCTTCAGCTCTCTCACCAGCACCCTAGATGGGCTTGGTCAAGACCGCCTTCCCAGAGTCAGTGCAACAACCTGGGAAATCTTACCACTCTCAAAGCCATCCTCTAAACATAAATGTAAGCCAGTCACACCCTGCCGCAAATGCTTCCATGGTTCTCCAGTCATCCACCCATCCATCCATCTGTTCATCCATCCATTCACTCATCCATCCATCCATCCACCCACCCATCCACCCATCCACCCATCCATCTATCCATCCATCCATCCACCTATCCACCCATCTACCCATCCACCCATCCATCCTTCCATCTGCCCATCCACCCATCTGCCCATCCACCCATCCACCCATCCACCCATCCATCCTTCCATCCATGCATCCAGGTATTCATTCATACAACAAATACGGAGTATCCATTATATGAAAGACATAACACTAGACATTGGTCCCAACTAACAAGTGGCTTTTAGTCTTAAGGTGGAGGAGAGAAGATAAGTGAAACAAGCTCACCAAGAGAGGACAGGATTTTATGAGAGTTCATAGGTCCCCACCTCATCCTGTCAGGAAAGGCCTTCCAGAGCATCAGCAGTTACACTAAGATCAGGAGAAGGAGGAAGTGCTGCCCAAGCAGAGGAGAGTTTCTGCCTGTGGAAAGTGTGTCCAAATGGCCAAAATGCAAGAGGGAGAGAAGGTGCAGATTTGCGGAACTGAAAGTAGGTTGGTATGACCTACGAGGTAGGCAGGAAGAAAGAGGAAACAGTGTGAAGCTGTAGAAACTGACAAGTAATTACAAGGGAGGCGGGGAACAACCAGGGGCAAATCAGAGATTTGTTGTGGTGCCTGGTCTTTATAGCTTCCCGAAAATATTCGTTGGATGGATGGTGGAGAGGAGGGTAGGTGAATGAATGAATGGAGGGCTAGGGGTAGCCAGATAGATGGGTGAGTGGATGGCTGGACAGATGGATACATGGGTGGCTGGATAGGTGAGTGGATAGATGGGTGGGTGGGTGGATAAGTGGATGGGTGAATGTGTAAATGGACGCATGGGTGAGGGGGAGATGGATAGATGGATGAGGGAATGGGTGGCAGATGGATTATGGGTGGGTGGAGAGGTGAGTGGGTGAGTAGGTGAGTGAGTGGATAGGTAAATGGTGGGGGGTTGAGACTGGGTACTGGGACAGTAGGGATATCACTAGTAGAAACAAGAGAGTGAGGAGGTGGAATCACTGTTTTCCCCTCTGCTCAGGCTGTCTGAGCTGGTCTGAGGGTCCTGCTTTTTCACTAGTACCTTCCCTTCTACTGTTCCCTGAGGACAGCCACCCCTAGAGGGAAACTCCACCTTGCCCTCTACCTCGTCTCCACGGGAACCTTGCTCCTAAAAGATCGAAGGACACAGTGGATGCAAAAATATTCTGTAAATGGAAAAATGCAGATGTGTAGAACTAAGCCACATCTGTTGAGGGCTCTGCATTTGCCAGGGAAGTTTCTGAACATTTGTTCTCTCTTTCAACCCCACTCTCATCAGCTCCCACTTTCTAAATGGATATAAATGAAAAAACTGAAGCTCAGAGAGATGAACCAACCTGCTGAAGAATCCACAGTTGAGATGTGGCAGGCCAGGTGTGGAGCTCGGACTGGTCCACACTTGCCTCGATGCTGTGCTCTCTGACTATCATGATCATCCCGCCACCACCATCCTCAACCCCGTAGCTCAGCCAAGCTCCAGTCCTCACAGATGCTGCAGCAATGGCCACCAGGCTTGGTCCTGGGCTGGCCCCCTTCACCTGGGGTATGCTTTAGCAAGTCAACGATGCTTTCAATGCCCTCTGAGGAAAACCCGCCATACATGCAGTCTGTGTTTTGGGAGGGCATTGGGAAAAAGAATCAAAATAACACTTATTATCTAGCTAAGAAATGAGAAAAACTACAGAGTGCCTCAACACCTAAAAGCAAATCCTTAGCAAATGCAAATCAGCACAGAGGCATCCAGGGACTTTAATGACCAAGAGAAACGAAGCTACCAACAGGAAGGAAAGGCCTCTCTGACTAAGCTAGGAGTCTCTTGCATGTCCCAAGTCAGAAGGCGGAGGTGCGGTGGCTCAAGCCTGTAATCTCAGCACTTTGGAAGGCCGAGGCAGGAGATTCACCTGAGGTCAGGAGTTCGAGACCAGCCTGGCCAACATGGTGAAACCCCGTCTCTACTAAAAACATAAAAATTAGCTGGGCATGGTGGCACATGCCTGTAATCCCAGCTACTTGGGAGGCTGAGGCAGGAGAATCGCTTGAACCCAGGAGGTGGAGGTTGTAGTGAGCCAAGATCGTGCCACTGCAGTACAGCCTGGGCAGCAGAGCAAGACTCCGTCTCAAAAAAAAAAAAAAAAAGAAGAAGGCAGAGGTGCATAAATGCTAGATTCCAGCTAGCACATAAATAGTGATCTAACTCGCCCCCCCTCTCTGTGGCACACACAGGCACGCACACAGAGAGTTACTCATGCTGTCAAGGCGGCTCACAGAGCCCCAAGCCCACAAAAGCTGGGGAGTTTCCCCGAGGGATCAGCTTCCTTTTCCTTCAGTTGGCCAAACCTCTGCATGCTTTACACAAGGTTGTTTCATTCTCTGAAAGTGATTTATTTTCCCTCTGAGGAGAGGGGAGAAATCAGGCTGCATTTGTCCTTAGTCCCCATTCTCCTCCCAGATCACCTCACGCAAGGAACAACGTGGACCATAGCATCTCACTTCTAGAACCCTTGTCACTGTTTCAAACATCGGTCCCATCTGGGCTCACAAAGTCCCTGTGAGTCAGGTGGGGCTGGCATTGCCAAGCCATTTCTCAGAACCTGAAGCCCAGAAAGGCTAATGTGAAGTGGCAGAGGGGGTCAAACTCACAATCAGTTGGGGTGGATCTGAATCCAGAACCCAGGCATCTATGCACCAACTTGCTACCTTTGAGCTTTCTGGATCACAAACAATAGCAAGAAATATACCTGACATCGCGACCCAGCACACACAGACATACGCGCACCCACACATCTGTACAAAGCAACAAACTTCCCCAAAGCAATACTTACCCTACTTCTTGCCACGCACTCTGATCGTTTCTATTCTATTTCAATTGTTAAAATGCAGGTCATGAGCCATGAAGTTGATTTACTGACCCACGAATGGGTCACAACCCGCAGTTTGGAAACACCTGGCTGGACCCGCACCTGTGCTTTCCAGCTACTCCTAGAGCCTCCGGGCCCCAGGAAGGCGGCGTGATCTCTGGAGCCAGGTGAGGAGCAGGCAGCTGCTGAAATCAGGATAAAGGGAGTCATCTGAGGGGGGATTCTGCCTGCCCCAGCTGGGTTCTGCCCTCAAACCTCAGACAGCTGGGCTTTCTGCAGAGGCTCTGCAGGAGCCTGGGCACCCTTGCAGCCACGACCCCAGCTCTCCCTCCAGCGATTTCCCGCAGCCTGAACCTCCCAGCTCCAGCTAGAAAATCCCCAGCTGGAGGCTGCCCATTCCGGAGCTGAGGCAGAATCATGTGAACTCCAATCTGGTGTCAGGCTGGGCGGTTGCCGAGGAACCACTCGCCAGCCAGAGGCTGAGGGCGGCGGAACGGCTCCCTGCACGCATCCTCCCCTGCTCTCCGTGCCACCGGAGTCAGTGAGCAGCGGCCGGGAATGTGAGAGCCTGAGCTAGGGGCGGGTGCCCTCAGATCTGCATTGGGGGTGGAAGAGGAGGGGGTGTGCTAATTCTACCCACTAAACCACCTTTGAGCATCTACAGGATACCAGGATCCAGGCAAGGGTGGGGGAAGCCGCCAGCATCTGGGTCAGTGGAGTTCAACCCTGGCCACACGCTTGAGAACATACCTGGGGGCCTATAAAAAAAACCCATGCCCGGGCCCCACCCAGGGCTGGGGAAATCACACTTCCTGGAAGTGAGGCGCCAGCATCAATGGCTTTAAAGCTCCCTGGACCGTCATAAAGAGCAGTGAAGGTGGGGAACCATGGATGTCGTGAGGCAGGTAGGATCCTGTTTGGCAGAGCGGCAGAGCAGCAGAGCGAAGGCAGTGGAGCCAAGGCTGTGGGCATGAGTAAGGATAAGGTGGGCATCAATGTTTTAAACTGTGTTGGTCCTCAGAGCAAGGACCAAGCCCAGGGCTCAGCCCACAGGGGGCCTTCTGGCTCTCAGGAGCGTTTACTAAACTCCCTCCCTCACACACAGAGCACGGAGGATGGAAAGGCACAGCGGGCAAAGACTCTTGACCAGGGAGGGCCCGATAGCTAAAAGGTGCTAGAGCTGTGGCTGGAAGCTGCTGCCGACTTCCACTGTCATGCTATTTGGCTTAACTACCCCTCTCCAAGGCAGTCTCCTGGGAAGCTGAGTATAAGCTACATTGCCAGAGCCAGGAAGCCTACAGACCCGGTGCAGGGGACCGCTGGGGGCTTGAGTGAGTTCTTCCTGCCGGAAGTAGCCAGAGCCCTGTGCTTGGTCCCTGCTCTGGGGACCAAGTTTAAAACATTGTTGCCCATCTTATTCATGCCAAGATCCTTGGCTCCACTACCCTTGCTCTGCTGGTAGGGGTCTGAGGAAATCCCCTTCAGTGGGTCGTGGGCCCTCCAAGCAAATGCTAACACATAGCAGGCCTTTAAAAAACTGTTTCCGGCCAGGTACAGTGGCTCACACCTGTAATCCCAGCATTTGGAAGGCCGAGGCGGGTGGATAACCTGAGGTCAGGAGTTTGAGACCAGCCTGGCCAACATAGCAAAATCCTGTCTACTAAAAATATAAAAATTAGCCAGGTGTTGTGGTGGGCACCTGTAACCCCAGCTACTAGGGAGGCTGAGGCAGGAGAGTCACCTGAACCTGGCAGGCAGAGGTTGCAGTGAGCCGAGATCGAGCCAGTATACTCCAGCCTGGGAGACAAGAATAAAACTCCGTCTCAAAAAAAAAAAAGTTTCCTATGTCAGTTGCTTCTTGTAGGCCTTATGTTACAAGCAAAGGCTTCAAGTTGTTATAGTGCAGTAGTGTACATTGAGACACACGTGCTATTTCTGTGTGTTGCGGAAGTGTGCGGAAGTGTGGCTGGCTTTCCCTGATGTCATATGGGAGGACTGGGGGGATAGGAGCATAGGACTGACTTAGTCGTGCCTGCCTGGCTACCCCTAGGACACAACCTGCCAGAGAGAGCACCTCTGGCCCTCTACGGGGTGGCCTGGCCTAACAGGGTGTGCACACACAGGCTGTCTATACCTGCAAGAACCACTAATGGCATGGTGTCCCCCTCCTCCCTCCAGCACCCCCGGGGACCAGCAAGCTGCCCCAGCCCCTCTGCCAGCAGCACCTGCCCTACTGCACTTGGAGTAAGGACCAGCCTTCGGGATGAAGAAGGAGGGGTGAAACTTTCTTTGGTTTTACTCAAATTGGCTGAGCTCATGTCTTTGTGAAATGCTTGCTCAGTAAAAGAAAAAAGAGCCCATGCCGTGCGCCGTGCTCTACTTTGGGCTGGGATTTTGTCTTTATCCTAAAATCGGAAGGGAAGACTAGAAGTATTAGTGACACAGCAGTGGCCTGAGGAGTCCTGGAGGCCCCATAACCGCCATGCACTCTGTAAACCTCTACGCAGGGGTAGTGAGTCTATCACAGAAATGCAGCCTAGCTGGCTGCAGTGGCTCGCACTTGTAATCCTATCACTTTGGGAGGCTGAGGCGGATGCTTGAGTCTGGGAGTTCAAGACCAGCCAGGGCAACATGGCAAAACCCTGTCTCTACAAAAAATACAAAAAAAAATTTAGCCAGGCATGGGGATACACTCCTGTGGTCCCAGCTACCAGGGAAGCTGAGGTGGGATGATCGCCTGAGCCTGGGAAGTCAAGGCTGCAGTGAGCCGTGACTGCACTACTGTGCCCCAGCCTGGGGGGCAGAGTGAGATCCTGCCTTAAAAAAAGTAAAAGAAAAAGAAACATGGCTTCAAGAGCAGGCCCTGGCCCCTCTCCTCCCAGCCAGGCTTCTGCCCTTCAGTCCAGAGTGGCAGAATCCTGGGAGCGGCCACCGAGCAGAGGGGACCCCTCCTCTGCGGCTCCTCCCTCCTGGAAGGATATATGGGCCTAAATCGGGCCGGGCTTGCCACTTGCATTCATTTTTTCACTCTTGTTCTCTCTCTTTCTCCCCCAATGCCCACTACCCAGGTAGTTGTGAAGAACCTCCGCTGGGATGGCAGCCCCAGGAGGCTGGACCAAGCCCAGACATTCCCATCAAGCCTCCAGCAAAAACATCTGCTCCAGGCACCTGGGTGGGTGGACCTTTCCAAACATCTCTGGAGGCTACTTTGAGGGCAACAGGGCCCTAGGTCATGAGGCTTTCGGGCACCCCTGGCCTCCCAGGGGTCCAGACAGCCGGGAGTCAGCATAGAGAGGACCTTGGGGTATTCCCTGAGCTGGTGGCATCATGCAGGATCTCCAGCACCTGGCAGCAACTCCATGGTCACTTGGTGGGCAGCACAGGGTGGAGGGAGAGTCAGGGCACAGGCTCTGGGTCAGACTGGGGAGGTCAAGTCCCTACTCTACCCCTCTCAGGCTATGTGATCTTAACATGGTTTGGCTGTGTCCCCACCCAAATCTTATCTTGAATTATAGCTCCCATAATTCCCCTGTGTTGTGGGAGGGACCCAGTGGGAGGTAATTGAATTGTGGGGTGGGTCTTTCTGGTGCTCTTCTTGTGATAGTGAATGTCTCACGAGATCTGACTGTTTTGTAAAGAGGAATTCCCCTGCACAAGTTCTCTCTTGTCTGCCACCATGTAAGATGTGACTTTAACCTTCTGTCATGATTGTGAGGCATCCCCACTCACACAGAACTGTGAGTCCATTAAACCTTTATTGATTTATTTATTTTGAGATGGAATCTCACTCTGTTGCCCAGGCTGGAGTGCAGTGGTGTGATCTCGGCTCACTGCAACCTCCACCTCCTAGGTTCAAGTGATTCTCCTGCCCCAGCCTCCTAAGTAGCTGGGATTACAGGTGCCTGCCACCACATCCAGTTATTTTTTTGTATTTTTAGTAGAAAGGGGGTTTCACCAGATTGGCCAGGCTGGTCTCGAACTCCTGACCTCGTGATTCTCCCATCTCAGCCTCCCAAAGTTCTGGGATTATAGGTGTGAGCCACTGTGCTCGGCCAAACCACTTTTTTGTTACTTTAGTTTATCTTTTTGAGGAGTGAGACTCTGTCACCCGGGCTGGTGTGACACCTGAGCCCAGGAGTTCAGTATCACGATCTTGGCTCACTGCAACCTCCACCATCTGGGTTCAAGCAGTTCTCCTGCCTCAGCCTCCCAAGTAGCTGGGACTACAGGTATATGCCAGCAAACCTGGCTAATTTCTGTATTTTTAGTAGAGACGTGGCCAATATGGTGAAACCCCATCTCTCCTAAAAATACAAAGATTAGCTGGGTGTGGTGACCTACATCTGTAATTCCAGCTACTCAGGAGGCTGAGGCACGAGAACTGCCTGAACCTGGGGAGGTCGGCGTTGCAATGAGCCGAGATGGCGCCACTACACTCCAGGCTGGGTGACAGAGCAAGACTCCATCTCAAAAAAAAAAAAAAAAAAAAAAAAAAAAGAATGGCTCTTCTGGAAGCATCAGGGACCAAGATGAACAGCAGGCAACTCCCCCAACTCCCTTGTCTGACACTAAGGCCCTCGAGGGGTTGGAGAAGAGCATGGGACAGCTTGGTACCAATGGTAAAGGTAAATAGCCTTTACCATTTCCTGAGCATGCACTTTGCACCAGGTGCTGTGCTAAGCACCTTCCCGATCCTTTCTTTTAATCCCTACATCAATCCTGTGTGGCAGAGATTATCCTGTTTTACAGATGAGGCAAATGACACTCAGAAGCTTAAGTAACTTGCTGAGGGTCACACAGCTGGTAGCAGCAGGGTTGTGATTTGAACTCAGGGCAGTCTGACTCCAAAGACAGGTCTCTTGACCACTGTTCCAGTGTCCTACGCTACTGTTATAAATTGTCATAAACTTAGGGGCAAAAAACAACATATATATCTTTTTTTTTTCTTTTTTTTTTTGAGATGGAGCCTCGCTCTGTTGCCCAGGCTGGAGTGCAGTGGTGCAATCTCAGCTCACTGCAACCTGCGCCTCTGGGGTTCGAGCGATTCTCCTGCCTTAGCCTCCCAAGTAGCCGGGATTACAGGTCCGCCACCACACTCAGGTAATTTTGAATTTTTAGTAGAGACAGGGTTTTGCCATGTTGTCCAGGCTGGTCT